AAGAGCGGGCTGGCAGGGGAACAGAGGCGCACATTGTATGTCTCTGAGCCGCAGCCCTGCTCCTCTGTTGTTTCCTCCTTCAGGTTCTCCCTCCTCCCTGAGCAGGGGGAGAACAGCCAAATGACGGAAAGGTGATTTATCATTGGTCTACGACAGCTGCAAACTGGATTTGCCCTCCCCCAATCAACATGCAAAGCAGCTTAGCCAAGGTAAGCAGGGTGGGGGGACTGAAGGTAGGCACAGGAGTGAGGGTTTGGAGATAGCCGGGGCTAAGGGGCAGCAGAGGGTGGGAGAGCCTGCCCCCTTTCCTGCTTGAGGTAGGTTGTTGCTGGAAGGAAGACGGGACTTGTTGAGCAGAGACAAGTCAAGCGTGACACCCCTAGCATCTTCAGCAGATCTTTCATCTGCAATTGACACTATCTGAAATTTATCAGCATTCCCCCTCCCAGCATACTGACAGGTCCTAATGACCGTCAGAGCTGCTTCCCGCCAGCCTGGCTCAGCCTGGGGCCATGGAAGGGCACAGAAATACACAATTTCCTAACTTGACAGTTTATTCAGAATGAACAGAAAGGCAGATTTAGAACACACTCCCACAGACACTATATAAACCCTTTGTTTTTCTGTGGCAACACAAAAACTCACGCTCATGTCTTTTTCTTTAGAGCACAAAGACATAATTCATGCCTGTATGTCTCCATGTGTACACACACACACACTCTCACACTTAGGCACAGGGCACTTTAGAGGCCCCCAGAGCAGTGGTGCATCTCACACAATGATGGAGACTGGAAACAAGAACATGGAGAGCATATGGATCCACATATGTTTCCTATGACGCTACGAATGCCTCTATTACTCTCCTTTAGCTGACAGTTACATTTTGGTGTTCACTCCTGCTCTACACATCTCTCTCCATACATCAAGCAGAGCCATATACCTATATGGCTATAACACTATATTAGACCAGACTCCAGCACACCATGCATAAAGGGTCCAAAAAAGGTCAAAGGTATTCAAGTGGTCAGAAAAAGGGGGAGAATAATTATATATTCCTTAAAATATATATATGTATATCATGGCTTTTTTTTTTTTTTTTTCTTTAACATAAGCCAGGGTAACTTGAGCTGCATAATCTTGCATGAATTGCAGGGTTTTTTTCCCCAAAGTTTTGCTCTTCACACCAAGGCAAAGCCTTCATGAATACCCTTCCAGCTTTACAATTAGCCTACTCTTCCAGTACTCATGGTGCAGCCGTTTTAGCAAAAATAACCATGACATTTTATTCTCACTTTAGAAGCTACAGATAAAAGCAATGCATCCTCCTGGCATTTTCAATATGCAGAAGGGATGTAAAGACTAAAATGATATGAATGGTTTAGAAAGTCCCTAAAAGTAAAAGCCATACAGCTGAAAGAGAAACACATTTTGCCACAGCACATTAACAGCGATCGCAGATCAGGGGGAAGTTGTGGAAAGAGAGTTTTGCGGTTGGTTGATGTGGTGTGGTGTGTGTGTGTGTGTGGTTTCTCTGCTCAGCAGTACAGGCCATGCTGGTATCTCAGCCACTACCAGTATGTGAAATCAGCCAGGTAAAGACAAAGGGTGGGGGAGCGAGGAAGATGGGAGAAGAGAAGACAGGGATTTAAAAGCAAAAACAAGTCTTTTCTCTGTGACACTAAATATGTATCATTAAAAAAAAGCTAAGCACTGATTTCACCATCTTTGATGTGCTTCGTAGTTCAACCTGAACTGCCAGGTCTTTGAAGCTGACAAGAACAAAGCCTGGCTGGATGAAGCACTGGAAGTGTCAGTCAGAGAAAGAAAAAAGAAGTGCCTCAACACGCTTCACTCAGTTGTTTTCTGGCCCTTTTGCTTCGCTTTACTTATTTCAAGACCTGCGTTTCCAAAGGTAAACACAGTCACAGCCAAGCTTTAAACATAGATCATCTCAGCATGCAGGCTGTCTGACCTGACAAATCATTTTCTTCTGCTTTGCTTCATATACCTGTCCAACTTAACTCTACACAGGAGCATCCATTTTTTGCATGGCATATATTCATTGCAAAACTGTAAAAAGCATTTTCACATATTGATTTGTTACAAACAAACTACAAAAGAAATATGAGTGACCATGCTTTGTTTATTTCCATATTCCACTCCCTGTATCACCTTTAATAGATATTATATAGGGCCAAGTCCATAGTCCTCTGAATTTTACAGACAACCCATGTGTGGTAAATAACAACTTTTGAAAAACAATGCTCTAATCAAAATCTAACTTGAAAATAACTAATCCCTACTTAAGATGGTCAGCTGAATCCACATGGTGGCCCAGGAAAAATAAATCCACTCACAAAGAATGTAGATGCAGACAACGATTGGACACAGATGTGAGTGGAATTAGGCAGAGTTTACAAAATTCTACACTTCAGTTGTCTTTCTGTACGTGGCTGAAAAAAAATTACAGCTGCCAACAAATGGAAGGTTACATGGCTTTGTGTGTTCATCCTCAAAAGCATTTTTGATCAAACAACCGCTATACAACAAACAACAATGGACATTTAAAGTTACATGGTGGTAAAATTCTGGACAAACTATTTTTTGGAACTCCAATTTTGATTAAAAAAATTTACATTTTATTATTTTAGCACTAGAACAATAACAATTTTGAACTTTTGTTTTAAATAAATACATGAAACACTTGTTTTATATCATATTCCATGTACTGTAAAATTATTTGCACTGATCTTCTGTAGTGTAGTATTCAACACATTAAGTGCAGCACATAAATGAGACTTGCGGCTACAAATAACGGATGCGCGTGGTGCTTCACACACATTTTAAAATGTTGGATCTGTAATTAAATGCACAATTATTAACATATGTACTGTTTGCTTATGTGTGATTTCTCTCTCTCATTTGGTTCAATCTGACATGGTGCTCCAACAGTTCACTTAAAAGTTACATTAAATCTGTTAATACTGTGCCCTTCAGCCTTCAAAATTATTTCCAGAAGGCCAGTTCACCTATGAGGGGCCATCAAACAAGATTTAAGGTGCAGATTTTATCACAGCTTGCTTAGCACAATGACCACCACCGCACGAGGGAGGCTATACAACACTAAGATGAAAGAAAGTCCGAATCTTAGTGACTATCAGTTTAACATTTGTGACTTGTTATTCTATAAAATGAATCAAACTATTAA